TTAACAATTGGATTCAAGATTGTGGCCTCATTGACATTGAAGCTAAGGGTCCTTTTTTCACTTGGAAGGGACCTCAGTGGGAAGGTTTAGATCGTGCATTCAAGAGACTTGACCGTTACTTATGTAATGTCCAGTGGCAAAACCGCTTTACAGATGCTGTAGTCAAGGTTGGAGAAAGGGTTTGCTCTGACCATCATCCCTTAATAATAGATTTGAAACCTAACCTGTTTGTAACCGGTGCAAAGATTTTCAGATTTGAAGCTGCTTGGCAATCACATGACCAGTTTTCTGCCTTACTTGGTAATATTTGGGTTGGTAGGGAAGAAGCCAACGTGAAATTAGAGAAATTAAGGCAAGATTTAGAACGCTGGAATGTAGAGGAATTTGGAAGGATTGAATGGAAAAAACAGAAACTCTTAAACAGATTATATGGAATACAAAAATGTCAAAACAGAGCTAGAAACCCCTTTCTTCTGCAGCTTAAGGTAGAATTGGAAAGGGAATTGATCGAAACTCTTAAGCAAGAAGAGCTAAAATGGTTTCAGAAGTCTAGAGGGAGCTAGATTGGACAAGGGGATCCGAACACATGATATTACCATACAAAAACAACGATTAGAAGAACAAGGAATAAAGTAAGAGTTTTAAAGAATGATGCAGGAGAATGGATAGATGATGAAGAATCTATTATGAATATGTTCTAGTCCTTTTACTTGAGGTTGTTTGAGGAAGAAAGGAGGGATAGAGAGTGGTATGAGAATGGGGAGAAGTGTGTAAGGAAGAGGTGTTGAAGGTTAATAGACTTGTAACTGTTGAAGAAGTGAGGAAAGCTTTTTTTTCATATGGGAAGTTTCAAGGCTCCTAGAGAAGATGGGTTTCCTGCTGGTTTCTACCAACAAAATTGGAATATTGTGGGTGCTGAAGTTGCTAAGTTCATCTGAGACTTTGGGACAACCCAAAAAGAATTGGTGAAATAAACAGTACTTTGCTTGTATTGATCCCAAAGGTGGAGCATTCAGAATTTGTAAGTCAATTTTGCCCCAAAGCCCTTTGTAATATTCTGTATAAAGGTTTATTTAAAGTTGTGGTTAACAGACTTAGGCCTCTTATGGACAAATTGGTTTCCCCTTTCCAAACCAGCTTTGTCCCTAAAAGAAGTATCTAAGAGAACATTATAATAGCTAAGGAAATGGTGCATTCAATGAATAGGATGCAAGGAAAGAGAGGATATATGGCTGTCAAGATTGATCTTGAAAAGGCCTATGATAGGATGTCATGGAACTTTATGAGAAAAGTGCTGCAGGAAATTGGATTTGATGAACATGTTGTGAATGTGATAATGAATTGTGTTGACTCAACTAGCATGTCTATAACTTGGAATGGAAGGAAGAAGAGTGTCTTTAGGCCTTCAAGAGGCTTGAGGCAAGGGGATCCTTTGTCCCCATATCTGTTTATATTAGGTATGGAAAAGCTTTCACATTTAATTGTTGATAGAGTTAACAAGGGGGAGTGGAAACCCTGAAAATGGGAAGAAGAGATACTGCTATATCACACCTTGTTTTTGCAGATGATCTCCTACTTTTCTACGAAGCAAACCTTGAACAAATGACCACTGTTCTAAATGTGTTAGGAGAATTCAGTGAGATCTTTGGACAAAAGCTAAATGCACAAAAAACACTAGTATTTTTTTCCTCCAAAAATACAAGTAGAGGACTGCAAAATGAAATCTGTCAATTTGCTGGGTTTAGAAAATTGGAGGAATTGGGAAGATACTTAGGGGCGTATATTCTAAAAGGAAGAAATTGAAAAGAAAGATTTCAACATATCCTTGATAAAATGCAGAGCAAGCTTAGTGGATGAAAGAAGCAAACCTTATCTTTGGCAGGAAGGTTAACTCTAGTACAAGCTGTTACAAACCAAATGGCGGTCTATCATATGCAACACTCTCATATTCCGATGGGTGTGAGGCAACAAATGATTAAAATCCAGAGAGATTTTCTTTGGAATGATGATCCTGGTAGGGAAAAAATACATCCAGTTAGCTGGGATCTCCTTTGCAGTGCAAAAGAAAGGGGAGGCTGCGGGTTAAAGGACCTAGGTTTGATGAATGATGCGTTATTGGGGAGAATTGGTTAGAATATTCTAGCTAACACCTCAAATCTCTGCTCTCAAGTATTGGTGGGGAAGTATGGGAGAGAAGTTAATCTAAAAGAATAGTGTATTATAAAACCTTCTGGTTCTGAGATTTGGAAAAATCTCTCTAGATTATGGCCACATTTAGTTAGAAATGTCAATTGGGAAGTAAGGGATGGAAGTACTGTGAGGTTTTAGAGAGATGCTTGGTTAGATAATGGAAGAAAATTGATTAACAGCAGTGTTACCGCTGTTAATGAATTTGAAGCTGAGAAACCGGTCTAAGATTTTGTCACTCAAGGTGGCGAATGGGACCTTCAGCTTTTAGAGAGGTTGCTACTTGAAGAAGATCTTAAGAGAATTGTTGCTGTTGTGCCCCCTGATATTCAGAATGGGCCAGATGTGATTAAATAGGGGGATTCCTTGCAAGGAACCTATAGTGTGTCTGATTTGTACAAACAGCTTAAGAATGAATTTGGTATTGTTGATAGTTATTGGAAGAGCTTGTGGAAGTGGAAAGGGCCGAGAAGAATACAGATCTTCCTTTGGCTTGCTTCCAATAACAGATTGCTCACAAGGGAAAGAAGGAATCACATTTTAGGGGCTGAAGGTAACTATCAAACATGCAGAGAAGTTATTGAAGACTTGATGCATGTATTAAGGGACTATGACAGAGCTAAAACAGTCTGGAGATGCTTCGGAGGAAAGGCGCAGGAGGCTGGTTTTATGTTGCAAAATAACCTTGAGTGGTTTAAATGGAATCTGATGGAGTGTAAGGAAGACTGGAGCCTAACTTTTGGTATCACCTGTTGGTACTTGTGGATGTGGAGAAATAAAAGTATCTTTAAAACTAATTTTTCTTTTCCTACTGAGCCTGCTTTGTTAATAAATAAATATGTGTGTGATATACGCATGTGTAATGGTCTGTTTACAAGCATGGGTTCAAGAAAGAAGGTGGTAAACGTGGCATGGGAGGCTCCAAATGTAGGGTGGGTTAAACTGAATGTGGATGGAGCATCTAAAGGAAGTATGGGTTTGGCAGGTTGTGGAGGGCTTCTTAAAGATTGTACAGGTTGATGGATGAAAGGTTTTGCAAGGCGACTTGGAGCCTGTGTTGCTATTAAGGCAGAACTCTGGGGCATTCTTACAGGATTACAGTTGGCAAAGGCCCTCAATATAAGGAAACTTGTTGTTGAAAGTGACTCTACCGCTGCTGTTTGTATGTTCAAGGAAATAATTGACAATAAAGAAGTAAAGTCTAGCATACTTAAACAGATTTATAGAGAGGCTTTGTACTTTGATAGTATTTTAGTTTGTCATGTTTTATAGAGAGGCTAATACTTGTGCAGATTTTTTAGCTAATTTCAGTCTCAGGCTTGATAGGTTGGCTAATGTTTTCGATGAGCCACCTAATGAATTGAGGCCTCTGCTGTACAATGATTTCATAGGGGTTTTATTCCCCAGATTTCTAATGAGACAATTTGATTGGGCATTTTGCCCCGTATTCTACCCAAGAAAATATAATGTAAATAAATTAATAAAGATTTTAAAAAACATAACTTCACGATGCCTTTAATTATATCAGAGTATAATTGCATTTTCACATTAAAGACTAAACATGAAAATTAATGGATATACTTCCTTTGATCCTTAAAATAAAACGTAATTGACTAATTTAAGAAAATTAAGAAAGTTAATAAATTACTACCTTCGGTCTTTAATATATAAGAGCCAATTGATTAATTTGAATATATTAAGAAAATTTATTAAATTAGTTATTTGTAATAGTGTAACAAATAAGAGTTGAATTTCCTGAAATATCTTTTTACTCATGATTACCTTTGAATAGAACCCCATTGATATGTATAATTAATAGAGATATTTTAGATAATAAATTATAAATTTGGGAGACAAAGTGGATTAATGTCTTGTGTTTAGGACTAAATACAATTCTCAACTCGCTCATATATTAAAGACCAGAAGTAATACTTAATTATAGCATATTACATGATCTCTATAATATGTCAATTTATAAGTGAAACAAATTAATTTGGATAAAAATGATAAATATTAATACTTTAAAGTAATTTAATAACTTCCTTAATTTTTTCAAATTAATCAACTAGGTTTTATATTAAGGATTGAAATTAGTACAATAATATTTCTACTTGCATGTCTGTTACTCTTTGTGGTCGCAAGCTATAATGGAGGCAATCTTCTGAAACACATACGAAAGTCTCATCACTTATCTATAACCATACTCTTTCTACGTCCTCCCTCTTTAGTGATGTCCTGAACTGCAATATGAATCCATAATCCCCAGTCATCATTCTTATGTTTGTCTAGACTCTAGAGGCAACCTAGGAAGTTAGGTTCCATTTAGTACGAAACATTGAAAATAAGGGGTAGGGATATTGTGATTAGAATTGAAAAAATCTATTAAAATTATGTTTAGAGTGAAAAATTACTTGTTACATAAGATTAAATATGCTCATGTATGTGGGATTGAGAAATACCCTAAAAGAAAGTGGTATTTCTCAATCCTACCTTAGTAGATTTGTCTAATCCCATGTAACAAACAATTATTGATGCTAAATACTTTTTAATGATTTTTCTCAATTACAATCTTAATCCCTATTCCCCACTTTCAATGTTTCGTATCAAACAGGACCTTAGATTCCACATGTCCTTGGTATGTTATATCCCACATACACATACAATTATTGCCAACTCATTTACATTTCTAATATCTCTTGGCTGCATTTGAATTGTGAATCAAAAACTTGGCAGGCACTGTTACAAACGTAATGTAAAAAATGAGATAAACAAACGACTGGTTAAAATAGAAGTTTTCAAACGGCTTTATCTTGTTCAAATCGAACCTGGATCAGCATCCCCTTAAAAGTATAAAGCGATGTTGACCATCGAATATATATCGGCTTAGAGTAACACAGCTACAATTTATAGCTACTTAGGTGTAGACATGGAGAAGCTGCTTATTTTCCTTTTACTGAATCATTTTCCTTTTGCAGGTAATGTTTGCTTTCCCTGAGCTGTCCAAATATGTATGGAAATATTCACTGCTGCCAAAAGGTGTTTGGAAAAACAACATACATTAATATGTTTCTAATGGGGGCTGTATCTAGTAGCCAAGGCATATTGAAAAAGGAATCATCAGCCTCATACGTTTCAGCTAAAGCTCCAGAACGGATAAAGAAACATTAAAACACCACTTCTAAGAAGTTTTAGTGATGGCAACCTTTGGATCATGTCTTGCTAACAAAGAGAACAACTGGGCACAATAATTACACCATAGGATGAAAAACATTATATTTTTCTACCTTATAGATGAAAGCTACAGGTGTCCCATAGTATCTTGGCAGGTGCACCATGCTTCTCATCTGCTTTCATAAATGCAGCTCTTAAGTATGGTCTGTGATAATGCATCGGATAACTGAGTAATTGCAAGAAATGGTATATGTGTGCCAGAGAGTGTTTCTATTTTCTTTTGTTAGCTCTTAGTAATTATGAAGTATTATCTGAATGAAACTTTTAAAAACAGCCCTCCTACAAACCAAAGTTAGCCTTGTGATCAAAGCTTGTCATTTGTTTTCCTCGTGCGCGCATATTGAAAAAATAGTGAAGTGATCCCAAGACCTCTGAAACAGAAAAGAAGGAAGAGAAAAACTGATACAGAAATTTGTGTAGCAGAGGAAAGGGACAATACCTTACAATGAAGTCAAGTGATTCTCCCTGCATTTACTGCTGGCCTGCCAAATTCTCTTACAACACTTTAGATTCAGAAGAAATAGCATCCGCCTGCAATTTATATCACATCTGTCTCGTTTGGCAGAGGAGTTTGCTTTTTTTTTAAAAAAAAAAAATCATATACTTTATCAGTTCCAGCTTGTATTTGACAGCAAAGAAGCATTTGAATTTGTTTTCACTGATTCACACATGATCTGATATTCTTTCTTGTTTAAAAATGGATGTGTCAATTTTTAACTTTGCATATTCTGATAAGTGATGACTTAGTTGTTGAAGTTTTATGGTGAATATTACTTCTTATAATGTGTTTATGTTAGAATGAATTTTAGACTATTATTAAGGGTTAACGTAACTCCGCCTATGTTGTATAGCCGGTCCCAAGCCCGGATAAAGGAGGAGGGTTGTGTTAGGCCCTCGACAGCCAACGTAAAAACCCGTCGAATCTCATGAACATGGATCAACGAAGTAATTATGCTAATGCTAGGTCGTTGCCCAGATGTGACGCGCTGTATGGCTCGAGTACAGTGAGAAATGAGCTAGAGCCGCTGCATCGTCGCCCGGATGTAGTGTTAAATGAGCAAGGGCTACCGCACTCTCTTGGACGGAGGCGGCTAAAGAAGTTAGTTCATGAGACTGAGATTAGATTTGGCACTTGGAATATTGGGACGTTAAATGAGAAATCTATGGAAGTAGTAGGAGTTATGAGGGACAGAAGGATTAATATCTTATGCCTCCAAGAAACCAAATGGACTGGAGAAGCTGCCAAGGAACTTGGAGAGTATAAACTTTGGTACACAGGAAAGGTGAGCACAAGGAATGGGGTTGGTATCATCGTTGATGGGACATGGAAAAAAAACGTGGTAGAGGTTAAAAGGTTTGAGGACAGAATAATATCGTTAAGAGTAATTGTTGGAAAGGATACTATCAATATCATTAGTGCCTATGCACCTCAGGTTGGAGCAGAGACACACCTTAAAGATAAGTTTTGGGAAGATATGGAGGGCTTGGTTCAAAGCATACCACTCGAAGAAAAATTTTTTATCGGTGGGGACCTTAATGGACATGTTGGTAAAGAAGCAGGACAATTCAGCGGGGCCCATGGTGGTTTTGGTTTTGGGGAGCTTAACAGTGGAGGACAATCTATTCTCGATTTTTCTCTTGCATACGATTTTAAGATTGTCAACACTTGTTTTAAGAAGCGAGAGGAGCATTTAATCACGTACAAAAGTGGTGTCTCAAAATCACAGATTGATTTCTTTTTGGTTAAGAATCCGGACAGAAGATTGTGTACTAATTGCAAAGTGATTCCAGGAGACGGGGTGAGTGCCCAACATAGAGTACTTATCCTTGATGTATGTTTTAAGAGTACCAGGCAAAAGTACCATCAAGTGGCAAAACCCAGGATTAAGTGGTGGCAGTTAAAAGGAGAGAAGCGGGAGTTATTCAAAAGGACTCTTTTGAAGGAAGGGAATTGGGAGTTGCAGGGAAATGCAAACATGATGTGGGAAGAGATAGCTACAAGGGTTCGTTTGGTAGCTAAAGCAATTTTGGGAGAATCCAAAGGTCCTGGTCAAAGAGATAAGGAGACTTGGTGGTGGAATAAGAGTGTGCAAGAGAAAGTCAAACAGAAAAAAGATTGTTTTAAGGCCATACACTTGTGCAATAGTGTAGAGAACCAGGAAAAGTATCAGTTGGCTAAAAAAGAGACAAAGAGAGCAGTGAGCGAAGCACGTACTAAAGCTTATGAAGGGTTTTATCAGGAGTTAGGAACAAAGACGGGAGAAAGAAATATTTACAAGATCGCGAAGCAAAGGAAGAGGAAAAAGAGAGATCTGGATCAAGTTAAGTGTATAAAGGATGAAGATGGTAAAGTGTTAGTTACTGATGGTGATATTAAGGACAGATGGGAGGCTTACTTTTACAAGTTGTTTAATGAGGGAAGCAATTATGCGACTCAGGACTTGCAGGACTTGCTAATTAACGAAGATGATCGGAATTTGGCTTTCTACCGCAGGATACGTATCGGAGAGGTTAAGGCGGCTCTCAAGAAAATGGACAATGGAAAAGCCGTTGGGCCTGATGGTATCCCTATTGAAGTTTGGAAATGTTTGGGCGATGAGGGGGAGGTATGGCTAACCAAGCTTTTTAATGAAATTCTACGCTCTAAAAATATGCCGGATGAGTGGAGGAAAAGCATTTTAGTTCCTATTTACAAGAATAAAGGAGACATTCAAAACTGTGCAAGCTACAGGGGGATAAAACTTATGAGTCATACAATGAAGTTGTGGGAAAAAGTGATGGAATATAGATTGAGGTTGGAGACTTCTATTTCAGAAAACCAATTTGGATTTATGCCAGGGAGATCCACATCGGAAGCAATCTATTTACTAAGGGGGTTAATGGAGAGATATAGAAGTAAAAGAAGAGATTTACATATGGTTTTTATTGACCTGGAAAAGGCTTATGATCGTGTGCCAAGAGAAGTATTGTGGAAGGCTTTGGAAAAGAAAGGTGTACGGGTTGCGTATATCAAAGTCATACAAGATATGTATGAGGCGGTAACTACCAGTGTAAGGACGCCTGGGGGGAGACAAAGGACTTTCCTATTAAGATTGGCCTACATCAGGGATCCTCTCTGAGTCCGTACTTGTTCAACATTGTTCTGGATGTTCTAACTAAACCTGTTCAAGAAAGAATCCCTAAGTCCATGCTCTTCGCGGATGATATAGTTCTTATGGCGGAATCAAAAGAAGAGATTAACACTAGTTTGGAGTTATGGAGAAGGACTTTGGAGTCGAAAGGTTTCCGTTTGAGCAGGAACAAAACAGAATATATGCATTGTGATTTTGGAGGGAGGCAAGGTAATAGGGATTTGGAGGTGAGGATGGGAGAGCAAATTATTCCTCAAGTATCAAAGTTTAAATACCTAGGATCCATTATACAGGAGGATGGGGAAATTGATGGAGACATTTCTCATAGAATACAAGCTGGCTGGTTAAAGTGGAGGAAAGCTACCGGAGTTATTTGCGATAAGAAGGTACCTGAGAAACTTAAAGGAAAATTTTATCGGACTGCTATAAGACCAGCTATGATGTATGGTAGTGAATGTTGGGCAATAAAGGGAAAACAAGAGCACAAAGTCGGAGTAGCAGAAATGAGGATGTTGAGATGGATGTGTGGTCATACAAGAAAAGATAGGATTCGAAATGAAAAGATCAGGACAAGAGTCGGTGTGGCACCTATCCAAGAGAAAATGGTTGAAAATCGCTTAAGATGGTTTGGACATGTGCAGAGAAGGCCTTTGGAGGCCCCGGTGAGGAGGGTGGATCAAACAAGATGGAGTCCCATAAAAAGAGGCAGGGGAAGACCGAGAAGAACGCTGAATGAGGTCATTGAACGAGACCTCCTAATCAACAATATATCTAAGGATTGGGTTGTTGACAGAGCACGATGGCGTCGTGTGATTGATGTAGCCGACCCCACCTAGTGGGATAAGGCTTGTTGTTTGTTTGTTATTAAGGGTTAACGTACATCTAGCATCCTGAAATATTTTCTCGGGTGTATCCAATACCCTAAAACATTTTGTGGTGTATTCAGCATCAATGCAAAAAAAATATTTCAGAATGCTGGATGCACCTAAAAATATTCCAGGGCGTTCAATTCACCTTAACTTTATTATTAATGCTATGGTCTTTTTCTTGACTCTTGTGGATTGAGAATGAAGGTAAAAGAAAGGAATCTACCAAAAAAATTAACCGAGCACGAAAATTATCTATTATTGCTCAAGAATAAATTTGAGTGCCGGCATATCTAACAATAATGCCCCTTTTCCATCAAAAGCCCCAGCGGAACAATTTCTAATAAGAAACATTAAATTGGAAAAGTAAAGTTGAATTTGGGTAAAATACATGTCAAATGATACAACAAAAAAGACTGACCATCAAGAAGTCCAAAATTTACAAAAGTAACAGAACTATACATATATGACTGCAAAACAAAATACCATCCAATGTCGAGTAACCATGATACAAATTTACACCAATGCAAAACAAATATGAGCATCACTGACCAAAATGCTTGCAAACAGATATGAGCATTGCTGTTGCATTTATTGATCTTTTTTGGCTATGTTAGTTATTGATATGAGCATTGGTGTATTTATTGATCTAATATCTAATATTTTCTT